TCCAACATTCTTTCTCACCGCAAATAATCACAGAAATGCCTTATACAATCGCACCTCGCCTATTCACTTATCTCTTTAAAAAAAGTGTGCAAACTTACACCCATACTCCTATCCAACTTCTCATCCAAAAAAGGGTGTTACCTATTTATATATTTATGCACATTTACTTACATTAAAGTCTCTATTAAACTATTTAGAACCAGCATGTTGGCTTATTCAAAATCTTTATTGTAAAAGTAAATTTTAAATAAGTTTATATAATTTTTTCTGATAAAAATAAGTTTATATTGAGTCAGAGATTAAAATGGTCGAGAATATATACCCTAACACATAAGTTAAATTAATTTAAGTTGAAACTTGATACTAAACGTTTTCCATTCTCCTTAAAATGATCTAGCAGTAGGGTCAAATAAACTTTCTTTTTAAAAAAATGACCTTTTTAATTAAAAATAGCTTTAATAAAAAAAATAATGAAAAAACTCTTTAAAAGAAAAACTAGTTTCATAAGCTTTTAACATTTCCTTTTTTTTTCTTATTTAAGAATAAATTGGTCCAAAAAATTTAATTTAAAAGTTATATTTAAGGATAAAAAGTAAAAAATTATCAAGTAATTATTATTTTTAACTTTAACTGTTAAATAATTTTTAAGTTAAAATAATCAGTTCATCCATATAAACTATCATAAAGCAAACGTAATTTCTAAATTTTGAAGAAAAATATATTTTAGGGTTCTGTACATGATCTATACTAATTGTAATATGTAAATATGAACGAGTTGACTACATCTAAAATTAATATTAATATACTTTTTTAATCTAAAATTAATAGTTATTTACTGCACTGAGATGTTTGTTTGCATGGAAGTTGCAGAAACATTATTGACAATATTATATTTGAGTCAAAAGCAGCCACAGAGTTTGGCTCCTTTCCTTCCATACGTAATTTGAGAATAGACCGATTCCTACAATTTTCCTTCCACCAATAACTCTCTTTGAATTCTCCAACACCCCAAAATTTCAAAAACCATTGAAAAGGTTTTCTCGTTAATATATTTTTTTAATAATAACTTACCACAATAAAAATAATCAAACCTTCTTAAGTTCTTATTATATCACATTAGAATATCTTTTATAAAGTGTGCATACAAATTATTATTATTGTTGTCAACTTAAATTTATAAAATTGAGTTTAAACATCTAAAAATAGTAAATTTTTATTTAAATAGAATCATATATAGGTTTAAGGGAGTGAGATAGAGAATGGCCATCAAGAAGCTGAAAAAATAGAGCATATCACTCTTTCGATTTCATAAGGGTATAACATTTCTCAGTAGTTTTTTTATTATTTCTAAAACATTGAACCTCTGCATAATTTTATTTGTTTGCTTTGTTGCTTTCTATACGGAAGAGCCAAATTAATAAAACAGACCAAAACAATTCAAACTTCAACTGAAAAAATATAGAGTACAAGAACCAAACTGTATCTAATTTAAGGAACCAAACCCAAACAGGAAAATGTTGTTATCTTGATGTTCCACATTCAATCTCGTATGTTAAAATGTGACCGTGGCACTGCTTAATAATTTAATTTCACTTTACTTACGTAATTATATCATTTGGGGTTGAAACTGCTAATACCATGATAATATCATCATGACATCACTAATTAACAGTGCTATGTTGGTGGCTTGATTAATTAATATTGAAGTTTTCAGTTGGTTTTTGATATAGGCTATAAAACTTTAATTAAAGTATAACAAACATGTGTTGAGATTTCGGGAAAAATCAGAAACAGATCAAGAAGGTCTCGGATTTAATCAAGAGATACGGGGTGGAAACTCACCTACAATTTAATCTAATGGTCCATATGATTTTGTCTCACATATATATAAATAATTATAAACAAAATTAATGGCCAAGATTCCTTACATTTTTTTTAACTATAGAGAACCTTGATCAGCTTTGTATAGATTGAAGGGAAATTGTTTCAACAACCAAGCCAATAAATCACTAATTAATTAAGATTTGTTTGGCATAACGTTTGAAAGCTTTTCAACTTTGTTTTACAAATAGAACTCTCACCACAGAGAAAAAAACGATTACTTAATTAGTGATATTATCTCTGTTTTTATATTTATATAAAGAGGAAATATGATTATATATTATTTATATATTTATGTAAAAGTTTAAAATAGTTATTGTTATTTTATTTATAGAAGAGTTTTAAATATAATAATCATGATCAAGTACTTACATTAGTTTATTAGAAAAAAAAATCTACTAATAATAAATAAATAAATAATTTATAAAACCTTTTTAATAAAATGGTTGAATTTTTTTAATCTTTATATATATATATATATATTTATTTATTTATTTATTTATCTTTGAACAGATAAGTAAGAATAAAATCATAATATTAAGTTTAATTCCCTTGAATTAAAATATGTGATATAAAGAGTTTAGTTTTTTATTTTGGTTTTATTTCACTCAGTTAAATTATTCGTATACCGAATATGATGTTCAGATACCGAAGTCGAAGGGAAAAAAAAAGAGAAAGAAGCTTGATCCAATAAAAAATCAGAAAATATTGAAAAATTCCTTGACAGTACTGATTAATAAATTTAAAATTAATTTTTTACAAGAAAGTATAATTTTTTTTTGCATGAAAAAGTAAAACATTTAATATTATTAATATGCTTCTTTACAATTTTTATTTTTATTTTTAACTAGTATAATTTTAAAATATTTATCAATAAGATTTAAAAAAAATTGTCTTATTTATCTATGCAAAGAGAAAAGAATAATTAGTTCATTTTTATTTATTCATTTTAAAGTTTAAAATAACATAATGTTAATAAAATATTTATATTGTTTGAGTAGATTAAACTTTAAAAAGAGACAAACTAATAAAGGATAAATTTAAAATTTTATTAAATAATTTCAATAATTTGATTGAAATTTTTAATTTATTTTTTTGGAAGACAAATAAATAAAAACAAACATTCACCAATACTGCAAGACTGTGTGTTAGAAAAATTGTGTTATTATAGCACTCCTCATACACTTTCTTTACAAAGAAAAAAAATTAAAGAGACTGAATCATAAAATAAAAAAAATAAATAAATATAAACTTGGATTTAAGAGGACTCAATTAATGACACAAAATGAAAAAGTCAGGGAAGACGAATACACTTTCTCAAAGAGAAAAAATTAAAGACCAAGAATAGAGGAAACAATTTGGAAATTCATGATAATTTCATATCTTGAATAAGCTAAACTCTTTGAGATATCAAACAACTTAATGCATTTCAAGTAACCTAGTAATAGTATCATAAAAGGATATATTATTTTAATTCTAATATATATTTTCTAATTGGAAGAGTTTAAAAATGATTGCAAAATAATTGCTATAGTGAAAATCCTATCCTAAACGGTTCATTGATTGAAGTGAACCATTTAGTTTATTTCTTGCCAGAGATTAGCAAATTAAATAATTTTCTTTAGTTTGTGTGAATTATATATAAATTTTCTCTAATTCATGTCAGCTTGTTTGTCACCGTTTGGTTTTCGATCTATATCGATATTATGTTCATCAATTTATTTCTTATTATGTATCACACGAGTTCAGATTTTATAGTACAACCCTTTATAGTATTAGTGAAGGAAATTTTATCCTATACATGGTTTATTATCATATATACCATTAAACTGGTTTAATTTTTTACCGTATATATATACAAATATTTTATTGAGATAAGTAAAGTTTAACTTGATAATCTTTATATTTTAAAATAAAGGTTTAATTTTATATTCTCTAACGGGGGGGGGGGGGGCGGCGGGTGATAAACAGTAGTCCACACATAACATAAGGAGCACAAATCAATTGAATCCAGCATTTACTTTTGGCTTTCCAAAAATAACCATTTAAGGAAAAGATAAGCAAATACAAGAATATGATACTTCGCCATCATTATCTACACAATTAATTGCCCAGAAATCTAAGGATTTTCCATACCAAAAGATAAAAATTGCATTCTATTAACATGAGAATTTAATGCAATTTTTAAAAGAAAAATAATGTTGGATAAGAGAATTTAATGTCAATTTTGAATTTAAGGATAAGAGAAAGAATATACGTTCAATTCATTATTGGCAATAAATCCTCTACATAATTAGACACCAGGAAATGTTACATCATTTTAATGAGCACTGTTCATCGAGTTGAATAAACCTTAATATGTTTTTTTTTTAATAAAAATAACACTAAACTTTAATATTAACTAATTATTACCCAACACTAGTTGGTTATGAAGTGAATTATAATCCCACACAAATTTTACATTCAATGTCATGAGCTCAAATCTTATAATTATTATTTTGAAGCAAATTTTACTTAAATTAGATGCCTTAATTTGAGACTTAGTTTCACGTCTATGGAAATATGAAGAGAGTATAGAAAATACAAAAATATTTCCTCACATCTATTAAATGGGTGTTAAATGATCGGAAGACAAAAGAAATAGAAGAGACAGAAAATGAAATGTGACAGATGATATGATAAAAAAAGGGAAAAAAAATAAACAATAAATAAATAAATATAATAAGTAAAAAAATTATCAAAATCAAATTTCACAATACTTTTTTGAAGGTCAACCATATTATAGTTGGGTCTGTTAGAACTTGGAAGAATGTTGCATCATAAATAAGGTGAGTGATATCAATTTTCAGAAAGTTGGTGGCTCTAATCTAATTTCCATACGTAGTCTGACACGTATAGTAGTAAATCTCCAAGATATAATAGACAAAATTCAAATCCAAAATCACTTGTATAATTTCAGAACACTTAAAAATTACTAAGTTAAGTAGATATCATTTTAAATGACAAGAGATATTTATTTATTATAAAATATGCATGAGAGATATTATAATAATAATATAATCTTAGATTTCATTCTATTTATTGCATAGCATCTTAGCATACTAACTTGTGGCATGACTCTTGTGGGTTCATTTCATTGATAGCATTCCCTTTCTGTACCAGCTAGTATATATAGGCAGAAAGACACATGAATGAGGCATATTTGAGATAATAGTATATGAGAGAAAAAGCATAGGTTTGGCCATTCAAAGTGGCAGAGTGCAAATAATAGGACTTAAGGGTCTGTGAAAAGAGATTATTATGGGGAAAGGAAGAGCACCATGCTGTGATAAGACACAAGTTAAGAGAGGCCCTTGGAGCCCTGCAGAAGACCTTAAGCTCATAGCTTTCATCCAAAAATTTGGTCATGAAAATTGGCGTGCTCTCCCTAAACAAGCAGGTATACATGTTACTACTATATATCTGTGAGTTTGTGTATAGACAAACATGGTGGCATTATAAGGGTGTCTTGGTATGGTAGTCTTTGTATGAGAGATATTAGTTTCAGGTTTCAGCCTCTCTTTTCGTATTTCATCTCATTCATTTTGAAAAACTATGAAAAATTGCAAATTTCATCGTTCAATCTTCAATTTGCATTATAGTATAGCCATGAAAATTTTGCATCTGCACTATTGCTTCTTGGTAATCTGCAGTTTGGGATAAATCCCTCTTCAAGTTTCTGCATTTGCATTATTTCATTCACCCACTGTTAGCTTCATTCAACGGCAATTTTATGCCACCTGCTTTGTTGTACTTTTTTTCTCTGTATAAAATAAAATAAATAGGTTTATTTATTAACAAAAATTAAGAGAATGAAGACAAAACAGTTTGGCAGAAAATTGTGACATTTGGTTTCCATTAGGTTAGTAAGAGAAGTTAGAAAGATTTGTCACCAAGCTGTGATTGTGGGCCCTTCTACCGATAACTGTGACATTTGAAATCATGGTTAGGGAAAATCAGATACATTTTAAATAATTAATTTCTGATATTGCTTATCCACCTACCATTAATATGGCCCAAGCTGCTTGAATGTTGTGCCATATATGGAAAATGACCTTTATTATCACAAATTCACATGAAGACTTTAAAATAAGGGTGTTCAGGTGTCATTTAGCCAGTAGACAATCTTTAATTTTAATCCCTTAAAAGAAAAGAGACTATGTTTCAAATTTATTTTTTCCTGATATAATTAATTTCTTGCCTTCTTAAATTAGCCAAATGAAATGTTTTAACTATTTTGGTGTCAATTACGAGTTCACTTTGTTCATTGGTTTCGATTATTCTCTGAAGTAGGAGGAGGAAGAAATCAAAGTGTGATTATATAAAAGAAAAGAAGAGAAAACTATGCAACAGGAATCACATGACACAACTGTAAAATCCAATATGGAGATAAACAAGTACCACCTTATTGAACGATATGTACATATGTTCTGTAGTAATATAAATATTACTTAAGAATGTAAATATTTAATACCATTATAATTATTATCAGTGTTTGGATGATGTTTTGATTATAACAGAATAAAGGGTAAACAGAGAGCATGTAATCTTCATGCCTTCTAAACCAGGATGTTAGAAAATTGAAGTACTAAATATTTCAACCCTGTTAATGTTTTACCAAACTTAGCTCTCCCTCACACTTAATATTTGTATGTTATGAAGGGCTTCTGCGATGTGGGAAAAGTTGTCGTTTGAGATGGATCAATTATCTCAGGCCTGATGTAAAGAGAGGCAATTTCACACCAGAGGAAGAGGAAACCATAATAAGGCTGCATAAGGCCTTGGGAAACAAGTAAGTACATATTTGGAAACGATTATCTTTTAAGAAATAATTTATTATTTTTCAAAAGCTGTTTCAGATTGCATATTCAAAAGAGCTTATAAAAATATTTGATGACTTTTATGAGTTCTTTTTAATTTATTTTAATAAGCTTATTTATATAGCTTGTCAAAATAAGCTCTTTTCAGCTTATGATAATAATTTTCATGCTCAAATTTATAAAATAAACTCCTTATACAAAATAAAAGCTTATTGAATAAGCACTTAGTTAAGTTGTTATTTAGAATGATGCCTTCTTTCCTGTAATGCTATTTTGGCTTTGTTTTTCATTGTTGGGCATTATCAAATCTAAACATAGTTTCAAACAAATTGATTCAGGTGGTCAAAGATTGCATCCCGTTTGCCTGGTAGGACTGACAATGAGATCAAGAATGTGTGGAACACACACTTAAAGAAAAGATTGGTTGCCAAAAAGAGTTCAGAGTCGAGTGGAGATGAATCAAAGACAGAATCATCAATAACTTCCTCCTCTTCCTCTTCTTCATCTGAATCATTTTTCTCAAATGAGAGACCAAATCAAGCAAAGACTCCAACATCTGGTAATGTATTTAATGACCAAGCATCACAAGAGACAATGACAGATAAAATTGAGCATGATTCAGAAAAACAAGTATCCAATGAAGTTATTGACATTATCACTACTGAGGATCCAAAAGAGTCATCAGTTTCATTATCTTCTGTTGAGTCAAATATTTTAAACTCAAGCCAGATTGTTGCATACAACAAGCCAGAACCACAGTTGGCTTCTCCATTATTAACCTATGTAGGACCTTATGATGTTGATAGTACATTAGAAGAGGTGGATAAACCAAACCATTTGATTGAAATACCATGGGAATCAGACTATGATTTTTGGAAGTTGTTAGATGAAAACCTTGGATCTTTTCAATCAAATGAAGTGCAATTAGGGGAGTTCCAGGCAAGCCAAAACATGATTCTTGAAGAAGTGAGTGTTCATGATGATGAAGCCAAGAAGTGGTCCCAAGACCTTGAGAATGAGTTTGGAGTAGTAGGTGAAATAAAGGAGTCAAACAAGGATCCTTTCCCACCAAAGAATTATGCAGTTGAGCCAGAAATGGACCACCCTCAGACATTTGATTTTGATGATATGACAAGACCAGAATCTGAATTAGACTTTGGTTATATTCAATTGTGGCCCTCTTGGCCTCAAAATACTACTCTTTAAGCTTAATACAAACCAGTAGTTGGAAAAGAAAGTCCAAATGAGAATCATGAATTTGTGATTTACTCAGTAGGTATACTGACTATGGTAAATTAATCAAGCTGATTAGGTCCCTTTGATGTATGATGGGTTTCATGTATTCTTCTCAAAATCAAGTTAGAACAGACTGTAGATTGATGCACAAATATGCAGCATAATGTATTATTGAATAAATTGTTGGTAAACTACAACTATCATACACTTTGAAAGTGGGTAGGTGATATTGTCCACTTACTTCCACTAGTGTGACATTTTTTCTTCATGTCCCCACCCCTTTGAAGATTTGAAACAACCTTGCAAGTACAATACTCTAGCTTCGTAGCATGAGTAGTAGAGTTAACAGCAAATGTTGTTTTATACTAAAGTCAATTTTCTTTTCCTATTCAACTAACATAAATCATGTCAAGCGATCCATTTAAGAGTTGTTTAATTTCAAATAAAAAACGTTTTTTTTAATTATAAAAATATCACCTTATTTTTATTTCATTTTCGATTTTTAAATATTTATGCAGAAAAGGGCAATTTTTTTTTTATTTTTACTATTTCCTGCAATAATACTGTAAAACGAGAAATGAATTAAACACAAGATAACAATTTTTTAATGAAAAATAAAAATCGAAAATATTTTCTAAAACTAAATACTCCATGAAATTTTCTTAGTCTATATTTTTAAATTATAAGATTGGAACACTTTATCCTTGTTCAAAGGAAACCAACTTGTTGTCCCTTGAACTAACAAACAATAGTTTCTATTTAAAGTCAATTAAAGCCTACAAATAAGAAACCAAATCAAGAATTAAAAAAGAGAAAAATATCTAAACCATAAATTGAAAGGAGAAAAAAAAAGTGAATTGGTGGTTGTCATACACAGGACCAAGTAATGATTGGGACAAGATCTTACCAAACTAGAGCTACCGAGAGAGAGAGAGAGGGTGGTCATCATTCGCTGCTTTCTCATTCAGTTCATTTCATACAATTAGTCTCTCTACCAATAAGCAAAGAGGGATGTTGAATTCAGGTTGAGTATTGTCATCAATCAAAAGGGTGAGCAGTGATATTCACAATTCTACAATATATTTGATTTTCCTTTTACAAATCTTAGAAGTAAAGCGTTGATTTGATCAAACCTATGATAGACTCTAAGCATATGTCGTTATTGTACCTTATCCGTGAGGTACCACCGACTTTGACCTATATAACTTGGAAAATGCTCACCCAAAGCAAATTCACATTTTAAATCTTTTCTATTTTCTTTTTTTTAATTTATTTTCCTACCATAAACATTTTTTTCTTATTTACTATACCCGTTTGTATATATGGACACTATTGAGGACTTCTGGTGACTGGTATGCATATTTTTTAAATTTCTGAAAATTATGTTTGTTCGGAATCATATTTTTCAAGAATGGTGATTTTTTAAATTATTATAAATAGGTTTGATATGTTTCAAGAAAATTTAGAAATATTAGACAGTATTTCATGATTTGTCTACAATTTTCATATTTTCGCGAGAATATTGAATTTTAACTCCCTCATGAATTTCTTTTTCATTAAGAAACATGTTTAAAAACCATTTTTGTGAATAATAATTTTTTTATAACATTGTTTGAAAAGTTCATACAGAACATAAGAATTTAATATTCTTAAAAAAATTTAAAAATTCTTTTACCACATAAGAATTTAATATTCTTAAACACTACCTGATATTTTAACCACATACAAGCTTAAATGTTACCGATCTGTACTAAAAAAATACTTAAAAATTCATATACAAACAAAAGCTTAAGAATATGAAGTAATCAAATTTACTTGTGCTACTATGAATAAACCATGACAAAGAGGTAGTATGATATCAGGCACTACAGGAAACGTTTGGTACACATGATATGACAAAGCCTCTGATAGAATAAAGTTTGATTGAATGATACCTCTTAACCTTTCAATATTAAATTACTCCCGAGTTCTCATGCAAAGTTTACGAAACATTCAATAGTTACGTTAAAGAATGAAATTATGCTGAGAAAGAATGTTGAGATAGTAAGACGGAAATTCATACATTATCAAAAAAGGAGAAAAGCTAAGAGTGTAGAGAAGTGATTTAAAGAAAGAGAGATTATCATTATAAATTGTTACTAACATTCACACATTATAAGGTGAAAGAGAGATTTATGATGTCACATTCCTTTGCTTTTACACGTTTATACAGATAGATATAAATTTTGCAGTGTCTAATGTGAAATTGTATAAAATATTGTATGGTATAAGATAATACCATCCTATATTTATTGATGCATTATTTAAAATTTCATAGGAAAAAATATTAGAACTTTTTGTAACAACGTCCTTAATTTATTTTTAAAAATATATAACTTTTTCTTTTTCAAAATCAAAGACTGTTGTGAGACTAAAATTTGAAATCATATATTAAGCTGAAATAATTTTATTTTAATTAATTCATGTGTTTAATAATATATATATATATATATATATATATATATATATATATAAAAGATTCATTAACACTAGGTGTAAGTTTAAAAGATTTACACCAAATTCTAACCATACAAATTAATAATCTAATGATTAAAAAATTATTTTTTTTATGTACTTGTACTTTATTGCTTTGATTTAAAGAATATGTAACTTTTTAACTGTTAAATAATTGATTTATACTGTTAAAATTTAGTATAAGTTTAAAAAAATTTACACCTACTGTTAATAGATTCTAACTATATATATAATGACCAGTAGTACATTTAAACTTTTAAATTTTTTAAAATAATTAATTCTGAAATATATAAATTAGTAAGAATTTCTTACGAATTTAGATATTATGTATAATGATAAATTAATTGAACTCTTACCACAAATAGTCTAAACATAAAGTTATTACCTATATAGTTTTATTTTTAAATAGTGACGGAAACTGAATTCTTTGATCATCTAGATATTACTGTACGATTAAGCATTAAAATTTTATTTTATTTTTATATTTTGTGTTGATCTATATTGTTGATTAAATTTTTAAAATATTATAAAAAATTGACATTAATTTAATTTATAAGTTCTGTGTTATAAATAAGTGTAACATTTTTTTAAATTAAAATGATTTAAACGTAATAATGTTGAATTATTTCAACATCATTAATTCTCTGGACAAATCCATTACAAAATTATTGTTCGGCTTAGAAAGCGTGTCAAAAGAGAGAGCCTAATGACTACCACTTAGGGGTGTTACTTGGGCCACTTTAGCCCATTTACACTCTACTACGGGCTGGGCTGAATGAGAGCTAGGCCTCAGTGGATAATTGCAGTGTATATAAAACGACTTATTGGCGGACATTTCTTTTATTTACTTATATAAATAGAGTTTAGAAATATTAATTTTAAATATTTGTTTAGTAAACTTGTATTATAAATTTAAATTGATTAGCATTTAAAAAATAAGTTTTATTTGTAAATAGAACTGATAAATACTTATACGATTATAATGAGGACGTTTTTGCAACTTACATATCAAAATAGAGTCAAGATAGTCAAGTAAAGGATTGATTAAGTGATCTTTTATTTTATAAATATAATACTCAAAACCGACAAATTGATATTTATAAAGTGTGCAAATGGGCCCTTATAGTTGGATTTACAAATAGACAAATTATTATTTTAGATTTTGCCAAGAAGAATTTTTTTTAGTTAAAGAATTAAAAAACATTATGTGATCTTTCTTAATTCTTGTTAGCTAGGCATCATGATGCTCATCATGCAGGGTTAGAGAGTTAATTCTACACAAAACCTGATCATCAACATCAGGATATTTATTGGAGAGATGCAAACTGAACATTTCATACAATATGACCAAAATCTATAAATTTTGTATATAACATCCAATGTTACATAGGAGAGAACAAAACATTCTCAGTGTGTGTGTGACTTAAGAGCTCAAAGGTTGGGAGCAATTGAGACGAATCTGACCTTGAAGTCCAGTCAAAACATCAAGATTAGACATTTTCAACATAACCCTTGCAAAGTCCATGCGGAAGGTTGATCCATCATCTGAAGCATAAGCAGAAACCAACTTAGCTGTCTTCTCTTCTGCCATAAGCTGCTGATCAGCAAACAAAAGTCCTCTTCCTCTTAACAAGCTTTGGTAATAGTGAGTGTCAAATGCTGCACCAGATGACACTGAACTTGACAATGCTTGCATGTATGACATCCCTGTGTTGGAGTGAACACCAATACTACTCATTCTCTTTGAAATCACAAACTCATCATCATCACTACTGCTACTTGAATTCCTTTTGTCTGGGCAGTTTTGCCTCATTTCACTCAGGAAATCAAGAGGGATACTTGGGTCTGGTTGCCCTGTGCCTTGAAAGTTGTATAGCCTTTGCTGAATAAAATCACAACCAATTTTCCCAATGTTGTGTCCTCCTTCACATGATCAAATGACCAATTTACCAAATAAGAAGCTCATGATAATTATAAAGACAAAACAAAATGTAGGGTAATTACCAAGAAGGCTAACTGTTTCTCTTTCATTAAATCCTCTGAGACTAAAGAGACGCAGCGTGCGTGTAACGCTATCATCAGGTCTGGGAATCTGATCAGTGGCTTCTGCGAAAAACGATTGAGGGCTATCCCTCCTGCCTGTTAAAACTGGATAGAAAGGCCCACCAGCCTGCCATGGAATAATGTTGAAATTTTAGGAGGTGTAATACAAGCAGAAAAAGTGATATTCTTGAAAACTTTGCTACCCAAAAATCAGGATATCAATGTATAAGAATTGCGGAATAAAAGAGTTTACTTCCTTCACTTCAAGGATAATATCTAGATACATGATTGGAACATGAGAACTGTCTCCAAACAACATGACATTGTTTAAAAGATTGTGCTTCAGATTAATAAATCCAGAAATACATCATAACATCACTATTGTTATACTTTTTAATGCAATACTTGTTGGCTAGTAACACTATAAATTGCAAGTGAATTCAAAATGCAGCACAATTCAGGCATTCAGTTTAACAACCAAACTCTCGATGTTCTCATTAGTACAATCAGAAGACATCCTAAAATAGCAACACATGTTGAAACTCAATATATAGTAAGGAACCAAGTGAGTTCAATTGGAAACAAATAAATAGGTACCAAAAGAACGGAATCTCTTGCTGCAAGAGCAAGTATGTCAGCACAAGAGACAACCCCAGGACATGCTTGTTCCACTTCCTCCTTAATCAAGTCAATTTTATCAAACCCTTTTAAGGTTTGATTTGGCGCAGCCTGCTTCTCAACCGAACGGTTTTTATCGCCATTGTTTTCATCCAACAGCAAGGAAGCATCACACCCCTGACTCAGAACCACAACCAAACAACAAGGACCGTCAATAGACCCAAAATCAACAAGAAAAACATACACTTGCAGTAGTGTAAGATCATGATCCAAATTTCAAGATATTCATCATTCACTTTAGTACACAGAGCTAAGTCTGAAGGATCAATACCGAGCAATCCGGACCCATTTTAATTCAGACAATAAAGAGACTAAGGGTGCGTTTGGAAGAGGTTATAAGAACCTTATAAAAATAGTTTATGACTTTCATGAACTTTTTAAACTTACTTCAAGTAGTTTTTCGATATAAATTATCAAAATATTTTTTTTTATAATTTTATTCCAATAAGTTTTATGATCAAATTTACCACATAAGCACTCATGCAAAGCAGAAAAACAAAAGCAAAATCAACATAACACCGAGCAGTGAAGAAAGACCCATTTGAATTCAGATAACAAAGGCTCTAAATTTATGATCTGGGAAGCAAAAGAGAGAAAAACAAAAGCACCACGCCTCAAGAAACGAAAACGACAAAACACCAGGTAACAAAGACCCATTTGAATTCACATAATAACAAAGACTTCAAATTTACATAGTCTAGGAAGCAAAACAAAGAAAAACAAAAACACCCCATTTATATTTTCAGAAGAAAGTAGAGAACTTTACGTAAAAACAAGCAACCCCATGAAGGAAAGAAGGACCTGGACGAAGCAATCATGGAAAAAGAGACGTAGAAGAGCAGGGGCAACGTCCCTGTGATCAAAGAAGACGCGAGTAACCGCAGAACGAACAATGTCCTCTGCTTGGGGACACGTGTTCCTATAGAAATCATACTCAAGATTGGAACCATCACGAATCCTTTGGTTAAAGGGAAAGGTGTTTGCAAGAGTCACTGAAAAGGAAGAGGAATCAGAGAAAGAAGAAGAAGAAGAAGTGGTTTGGATTTCATTGTTGTCAGTTTCTCCTCGTGGGTTTCTGAGAGAGAGAAGCACAGGAACCACAAGTGCCACCACGATCCATGCGTTGATGCAGCTTCGCATTTTGCTTCTTTCTGCACTTTCTTGAGGAAGAGAGAAAGTGAAGAACAGATAAAAGAAGCGGGAAGGACTAGTTCGTTGGGTTAGTTGCTATAACTGAAATTGCATCTAGAGAATATATAAGCTCACAAAAAAAAATTGGAGAAAATGTAATTAGGTTCAAATATATTTGCAGTCTCAATATTTTGTTTTCAGATTTAAATCAGTTTTTGGTTTCAAAAATTTAGCTATTTAAAAATTATTTTATAATGTTAAGTTTATTAAGTGTTGAGTTAGCTGATAAAAATTGAATCCACCTATGTTACATGTCAAAATATTAATCCTAATTAGTACTCAATTGAAGTTTGCTCCCAATATTTTAAATGTTTGATTTTTGGTCTATGTATTTCCTTTAATGTAAGTTCTAGTGACTATAATTTTTATGATACTAAAGCCTTTTTCTAAAATATAAAGAGATTGATTATTAAAAACTAAAAATGTATTAAGCTGTATGAAATATAAATATATCCTTCTTATGAGAGGTGTTGGCATGATGCTCTAACATGAGTTGAAAGAGTTTATCCTCTAATCTTTGGTTTGGCTTAGATTTTAGTTGAATTGATTTAGGAAGAGATAATTTAGAAGAATTAAAGTTAAAAATAATTTATATCTAAGAATAGTATAAACAAAGGATCAGTACATCCATGTAGGAATCTGAACCTTTACTATTGCTTTGCCGAAAACCAAAGACTTGGGATTTCATGGTTTTAAAATGCCACTGCAAATATTTCACTCCACCACCACACTTGTGACCGATGGAGAGAAGCAATATCCCAAAACAATGATTATCAATATATATATATATATATATATATATATATATACATTAATTCTTTTTATTATTTGGTTAAGGGTTGTAACCCCCAGAGGCTAGAGTGAAATACCAAGGCCGCACTTCAATTTATGGCAGATGTTAACCAATGTTCTTGATAAACTTGTTAAGAATTTTAAAGAAATACATTGTCAATACATTTTCATCATAACTTTTAATATATCTTAATATATTTTTAATAAAACATTTTATATAATTTTTTAACTAATACTCTCATTAATGAAAAGTTTCAGTTTTTTCTCTTCTACTTTTTCAACTTGGGACTAGTACCAGTTAAAATGAGAAAACATATTAGCACTTAATAAAACGTACTTGCAAGATATTTCGTTATTTTTTTAATATCATTCATACACCTTATGCATATATTTTATATTTGTTTTTCCTATGTCACCAGTTATACAACATATATTTTCAAACTTCAGTTTTTCGGGGTTGAACTGCAAGACTTTAAGCTTCTCCTACTATTCTATACTTAATAGTAATAGGTACATTGAGATCCACAATTTATTTAATAATTTTTTTTCTTATAAAACTTATTAAGATAAACTAAAAACAGTTTATTTTAATAATATATATCAAGAAACTTATTAAAATAAACACAAAAAAAAAACATAAAAATCATAAGCTATTTTTTATAAATTATTCATAAGTTCTTTCAAGCATATTATTAACATCATCTTATATTTGAAAACCAATTTTGAAAGAGCAAAAGTCAACATGGAATATTACTTCCGTGTCTTTACTAGGCGTGTATAATGGATACATGCATAACTTTTGTTATATCACTTTAACTGGATCAGCTACAGTGGACTTGGTCTGACATAGTTTTACGAAAATGGAAGTTCAGAAGTTTTTTGTCACAAGATTAGTTGAATTAGCTATTCCAGAAGAATTGAAGCAGTAAGCATGAAATTTTAAGAAAAGTGCTATTCAAGATTTCAAGTTGAATATCCAAGTTCCAGCTACATACAATAGTCAACTTGTTAGAATTGATGGCTCATGACTGATTAACTCAAACTTTTCATTGCTGAAAGGCCAAGAGCACCTAATGGCTATTTAGAAATTCACAGAAGTAAATAAATATACAAGGCAATTGTTATTCTATACTTCAACATCACAACCAGCACACCATAGAGGAGATGTTTTCAAGGGTGTTGAAGAATTTACACATAAGTCTAACCGATTTCGAAATCTCAATTCACTTGCTTTTAATAGCACAGGGAGAGGAAAACAAACCCCCATTTCTACACACATTTTATGCCTAGGCTTAATTCTATTCTCCAAGCTAAAAGAGAAATACTGCGGAAATTCTTTCAGCTCCTTCAAATCTCTCCCCATCTCCACCACAAAGTAATGGTATTTAGGCTCCAAATTATTCTTAATACTATAACAAAACAGCTGAGGAAATCTTCGAAACATTGAAGTGGCATCTCGGCGAGAAAACCCAATATTCTCAAAGTAATCAATCCTAGGCATGAACTTTTCTTCAACACTACATGATAGCAAATCCGTGTGCTTGTTTACCTCTTCTATGCCAATGCTTTGTAGGAAGTATAGAGTAGGACGAAGTTGCTTACAAACACTGCAGACAAGCAACCTGGGACGACGGTTTATTACCCGCCTAATATCCGAGCAATTTACATGAACCTCGCGATGAAGGAAGGTAAAGACAGGTATGATGTCTGAGACTTGTGTAGTAAGAATCTCGGGACACATCCCAACCATACGCCGAAACTCAATTGCACTGAAATCCATTGAGGTGATGTATTCCACGGTGGACTTTATGTCAGCAAGGGAGACAGTGATCAGCATTGGATGATTTTCAATAAGTGAGAAAGAGTCAATACCAACGGATTCCAGATACAGGAGTTTCTTCTGAAAACCAGCATCACAGTTGGGAGGGAGAGTTTGCTTTGGACATCTCCACTTTATGACCTGCAGCACAGCATCAGCACAGGAAAAGTTAAGCAGATAGTAAAATCAGCAAGTTGATAAGGAAAGAATTAGTCCATTCTCATACTGACAGATCAAATACAACCTTGTACGACTCTTTTAACTTGAAAATAAAATATTTACCCCTCCCTCATTTCTCCTTCAAAACTTAGCATCCCAACATACCCTAAATGCAGACCCGTAGTAAAAAACAGCATGTGTGTCAAATCTGGTTCTCCTCAAACAATATATCCTGTGTGTATGAAAATAATATGCATATAGGAGGTTCAAGCTGAGAGTAAGTTTTCCCAAAGAAGATTTGTCACTATTATAGTCTTATCAGTCTTTCGTTGAACACTTGATGGTTTGCATATATCAATAAGATATTCTATAAGACAACCAATGTCCTAATAGACCATTGATTAAGTTTCTTTCACTCCCCTATAGATTTTGAGTTTTACAGCTAAACTAGATTCATTTCCCTAGAGTCAATGCCGCCAGCAAGTTCCACTTTCTATAACAATCATTGAAAAGTCATTAATCAAAACTGAAGAAAAAAAAATCATGTTGAACATAGTGAATGCAGATAAAAAATCATCCCCCATTCCAAGGCTAAGAGGACCATGATAAAAACTAAGGGCTTGATTGTATTATATGCAGTTCAATGACAACAGAAATTGAGCAAACCGAAGAATAAACTTCTTATAAACGCTACTATCTAAAAGCATGAAAAGTACATTGGAATTTCAACTTTTTGCCCCTTGTGCTAGTTATAATCTTAACCAAACACACTATAACATAATTCCAATTGATAAAAAGCCATAGGTAACATGAAGCCAAGGAATCATTAAGCATTTTAAGAAATTATTAAACAACAATTAGCAAATGCTTACAAAATACAAGACACTCTCTTCAGGTATTTTTAAGTAACAAGTTCAAATTTGTCCACAATATAACCGTGTAACCCCTTCAACTAATTTCTCAATCAAAAGATAGCTAAATCCTGAAAGTTATATAGTTTCCCTCTGCTGAATACTATTCCGGGATTCAATATAACATTATCAGCAATTTCTACTTCAGGTACTAACACCACCCCCCCCCCACAAAAAAAAAAAAATTATTAAGGAACAAAGAACACTATTGAACTGAACAATATAGAGAACAACCCAAAACACGTAAAAACGTTATTTGCACAATTAAGTAGAGACACAGTAAGAAAAATTGAAACTTGAGCATGTTAGGCACAATTTGGGAGCTTCTAATAATAAAAGAAGAAAAAGGGTAGAGTAGAAAAACTCACAGTAGCGCTAACAAAGAAGGTGGGTCGTGTGGAATGGAAGGGGAAAGAAGTGGGAACACTTGAATGGAAGGGTTTGCAGAGGCGAGTGAAGGATTTGGGAATGGTTGGAGAGGGAGAGGGAGAGAGAGAGAGAGAATGGGTATCAGTGGAAAACAATAGCATGGTAGCAGAAACCATAGCTTTTGGGATATGGAAGAAGCAAATCAGAACAAGTGATGAAGTCTTGTGTTGTGGTGTGGCTATGAACAATATTTAAGATTGAATAATAATTAATAATAAAAATAGTATTAGGATCGTTGGCGTGTGCTTCCAATTGGAGAAATGATGGATGAGAAGATAGAGAGAATACTTGCGTGTCACCTCTTGTGGGGTCCTTCCTTCTATTCTAACTTACACCATTGATTTCTATTTTATATTGTATTTCTACTTTTTAATCCATATATTTAAAGTACCTCTTAATCGTGTAAAATGGTAATTTTTTAGAATAATAAAAATAAAAATATACAAATAATGGTTCCATTTAATAAAAACGAAGCATATATTATTAAATTTTAAAAACTAGTATTTCTGTTATATTTTATAAAATTATGAATATGATTAAATTATATTTTAATAATTTTTTATTAAGTATTCATTTATGAATGTTTTAATTTAAAACATTTTGTAATGTATATAATTTTAATTGTCTTTAATATTAATAACCTCGTGTATTAAATATATAATTTTATCCCTACATTCGTCTCTGATCACTTTTGAACAATTATATATTAAGGGTAATATTTAAGTCTTGTAAATAATTATTCACCACTCTAAAAAATAGTAGAGGAATTAAAAAATAAACTAAAAATGAGTAAGATCATATTTAAATAAATAATTTAAAATTTTATAAAATATAAAATTAACAATAAGATATATAAGAGTCAAACAAAAAGATAAATTATGAATAATAAATACAAAAAATTCAATATAATAAAAAATATTTTTTAGAAGTACTATTTAAATACATATAATGTAATAATTTTGAATTATTTATTTAAATACAACTTAAAATTTAGCAACACAAATAGTATTAAAAGTGTTTTCATATGATATTAGTCTTGAATAATGAGTCAGATAAAAAATCTTCTACATCCTTAATGAACTTAAGTTAAAGAGAAGTTGATGTATTTATAAAGGTATTCAAACTTTTTAAAGCCTTCTACAAAAGAGTAAAAGTATGAAATAGATCATATATTTAGTGAAGTGACATTAGTTGTTTAAACAAAACTTAGATGCAAGTGAAACATAATTATGACACAAAGAATTATAAAAGATATTATATTGTCAATATAACTTAACTCGGAAAGGTTCTAAACTAATAAAATAAGAAACAAACTATAATTTTTCATAATAATAATATAGAATATTTGATATCTAAGTTATTCATGCTTAAATAGGCCTATGTGAATATTCAATTTTATCATGATCTCATCTAAATAAAATTTTACAATAAAAAATCAAAATTAAAAATTAGAATATATAGGGAGTTGTGATTTATGAATTTAAATTTTTTTAAAAATTCTCTTTAAAATTGGTTTCCTTTATCATAAAAATATAAAAAGATAATAATTTAAAATTATGTCTTTTTTAAATTATAAAAAATAAAAATAAAGCAATAATAAATAAATAAATAAAATATGAATTATTTTCTTTAGAAGTGAAATAAATATTTTTAAAATTAAAATAGTTTTGCACAATTAATTAAAAAATAATTATTTTGTTTAATGAACATCGTAGAGTGTTAATACATTCCTTGTACATAAATTATTCTTGAATTTAAATTTGATTTCAAAGATGGTTCTTTTAAAAAGTTTTTCTAATATTTTCTTTAATAAAGTTTGATTATTTTTCTCTATATGATCATCATTTCGTCATAACATTTCTTCAAATGATATATTAAATTATTGACAATTTCAAAAGAAAAAACTTTAAAATTTGGACCTTATATGACTAACCAAACTTGAGGTAAAAAAAATCATATGAAAATCAAATGATGAAGGAAGACTTTCTTTTAATAACCATGATAGGTATTTATAAGGAAACAGTTCAATAAATAAAAGTAGTGTGAAAAGAAAAGAAAAAGTATAAAAAATAATCTTTTATCTTATATATTATTTAGTGTTATTACAATCAAGTTAAAATTTAAATAATTAAATTTATTTAAATTTTTATTTAAATGGTATTTTAATTTTTATATTTGACTTAAATTTGTAAGTTATTCTCTATATATAAAAAATTTATAAATTATTTCTTATACATATATTTATTCTTAATTTAGTATCTACTGTTAAATTTAAAGTAAATGACAATAAATAAGTAAGAGATTATATATATATATATATATATATATATATATAGTAATTATTTTAAAAAAATTTTTAATATAGGGACTAACTTACAAACCTTAACCAATAATATTTTTATAAATTTGCGAGACACATTTAGTTTGTATCTTAATTTTGATAATGTACAGAGAGTGAAGAAAGACATAAATGATTGCGCTAACAATTTTGCTGTTGGCAATACCGATAATGATACATTTAAAGATAGAAGATTTTGATGAGGGATTGATGTTTTGGGTGAGTGAGGGTGAAGGTGATGAAGTAATAGAGAAGAGAAGATAATTCAATAAAGATTATTGAGAGTTGAATGAGTTTTGAAATGAAAAAAGAGAGAAAGAGATTTTAACCTATATATAATTGGATAGAGGCGAAGAGGAGGAGGGTGTGGGTGCAAGTGAGAATAGTAAAATGGTTGAGAAGATAAGAAAATTTGGAGAAAGTTGTTAAGAGTTGGTTAAGTTTTGGGAATAAGAAGATAAGAGAGAAGAAACTTTGACTTCTATTGAAGATTGAAAAGAGTAAAATTGGATTTCAGAAATAAAGAAGCTTAAAAACTAAGAAAAAAAAATGATAATATAATCATTTTATTTATTATTCAAATTTGTTAATTCCATATGAAAAAAAATTATAAATCAGTCTTCGTATGTATATTTATTTCAATTTAGTCTCCTACTTATTTAATATTATTTATTTTAAACTTAACAACAAGGATTAAATTAAAAATAAATATATATATAAGAACTGATTTATAAATTTTTTATATGTAAATTTTTTTTTACAAATTTGAATCAAGTATAAAATAAAAATATCATTTAAATCTAATTTTTTTTATTAAATAAACCTATGTCATTAATACTATTTATTATGATATAATTAACATATATGATCTAATTAAATAAATATTATATTTTAGTTAAAGTAATTTAAAATAAAATTAATATTAAAATTACAAAAAAAAATTAAGTATTTATCTAAAATATTTATTTATTTTTAAAAATTATTAAGAAAATATTACAAAATAAAGGATTATTTTAATATAAATCAAACCAAATAATTTTTTTCTTTGAAGTAAATTAATTATTTTGTTAAATAATATTTTAAAATATTAATTCAAATTAAAAAAATTAAATACGCTATTTTTGTTCTTGAAATTTAAAAATTCTTTACTTTAATTATTAAAATTATATAAAAAAGTTTCAATCCTTAAAATTATTTGAAAATATTATTTTAGTCTCTAAAATTATAATAAAATTAACTATTTTAATTACTAAATTTATAAATATTTATTAATTTAGTCTTTAACATTATTAAAAATTAATTATTTTAGTCCTTAAAATTATGAAATTGATAAGTTTTTTAAATTATAGATATTTATCAATTTAGTCTATAAAATTAAAATTTTGAAATTATAAGGACAAATTAAATAAATCTTTAAAATTTTGTAAAAAAAATTTTAGTTACTAAAATTATAAAAAAAAAACTTAATAAAATAATTTACATGAGTTTTTATGGTAATTTTTCTTATTTACTAAAATTTTTATTTCATAATTAAAAATTAGAATGAATAATGCTTAGAATTTAGAGATTAAATTTAATGATATTTATTATTTTAAAGACTAACTTGACAAATATATACTTTTAGAAATTATAATGACTAAATTTGTAGACCAAAACGTCTAATTTTATAATTTTAAAAATTAAAATAATTTATTAAATAATTTTAGCAATCAAATTAATAGAATTTCAATAAACGTTCTTATATTTTTTTTACTATGAAATTTGGTAATTTGTAATTTTAACGTAAAGAACATTTGGCAAACATAAAAATCGGGAGAATGAGGTTTAGAATGGCATTGTGACTTGTGAGCAGTCTGGTATGCAAATTCTGTGAGGAAGAAGCAATCATCGATCGATTATAATGGGAAGCGATAGAAAATCAAAGCGAAGTACTCATTCTTCACCCAAGGACCAAGGTATGCAACCTCTTTCGTTCTCTACAAAACCAAACAACGCTTTAGGGTTTAAAAAAATTAATCTTTTGCATTAAATCTCACCCTTCAGCTTAAATTCTTAAAAGTTCGATTATCTGATCCTGCAAAATTGACAAAAAAATAATAATAAATATTTCGTACACCATTATCTCTCTCTGTGCAGCTACTTTTTTTCCTTTTTGTTGTTGTTGTTGTCGTTGTTGTTTATTGTGAAATTAATTGATAGATGAGAAGAAAAGCAAGAGACAGAGAACGGTGGAGGATGAGGAAAAGAAGAAACGGAAGAGGGAAAAGGAAGAGAAAAGGAGGGAGAAGAAGTCTCACAAGCATTCTAGAGAAAAGTCTGATAAGGGTGAGCATAATTTTTTTTTAAAAATATTTATTTTTACTTAACTGTGGTTGCTGCTGGACCAAGATTCATGCATATTTAGTTGTTTATTGTCTGGTTTGGAAATTAAAGTTCAACCTTGGTAGCACTTTAACTTCGGTTGTATTTAATGTGTAATCGTGTGCTTTGTTTCACGTTTAATCAGTCACAGATCTACGGTTAACGTGATTTTAAAGAATGTTCAAGTGTGGTTCCAAACATGCTAAAAGTAATTTTGCTTTCAATATGCTTTAGGCTGTGATACATGAGAGATAAAGACCAATGTGTTAGAGGGGGGGTAATTCTAAATAGAGGAATAGGGTGTTATGAGTTCGGAGAGAGAGAGAGAGAGAGACAGAAAATTAGTTGGCACAATTAAATAATTTATCAGTTAGAGGAGGCTTAGTTTGATAAATAAATAGGAGGATGTAAGGGAAGGGTATCATTCTGAGGTTTAGAAGATTTTAAGAAAGGAGAAATCCTTTGTAAAGGGGAAACACTCATTTATCTAATTCTCGTAATTCTGGATTTGTAACACGAGAAATGGAAAGCATTAATTCTCCTAATTCTGTTCACTTTCAATCAATAAATAGAATAACTCATTTCGTTTCTTCATTTCCCCTTCCTAACACAAGAAATAGAAAGGCTTTATCTGTAGTGAATATGACTTGGAAGGTCTTAAGAGATTGTAAGCCTAAGCCAATGCTGCTAGGAAGCTCGAGGCTATGGAGAATAATTTGTGATTCTCTGAAATCTTCAATGTTCTGGTCCCAAAGGTATGGAAATATATTGTGTAAAAATTTGAATTTAAATCAATTTTAGGTGTCTTTCTTTTATCACATATAGGTGTATGTAGGAGTAGGAAAAACTGTCTCAGTCATTTTCCAGTTCTATAACGTAATTCAAGGATCCAATTTAAATGAATGTTCTTGGACATGGAATAACAAGATGATTTTTTCTGATCATGTCAACAGACTCTGCACTGCAATAGTGCAACTTGTTTATAAAATAAATTTCTTAAACTGTAATAAAGCAAAGTATAGGCATAACACATCACTATATGATAGGAACTTGGAGAAAATAAGATGGAAACTAGGTCCTAAAAATAAGATTGAAAGAATCAAGAGTAGAACGGTATTCTTGAAATGTAACTGGATTAAAAGTGCCATATTACTGTAGAATTCTGACAGGAGAAATAAAAGGGAGCTTTTAAGAGGATGAACAATAGTAAAATGATTGTCCTCAATAATATCTTTATTGAAGTTGGGAAATGTTTGGGAGAACAAGGAATTGAATGACATACGAAGCTCTTCAAATGAGATTGTGAAATTTAAGAATATGTTAGATAAATGGAGGAAGAACAATTTGGATATGTGTAAACTATAGAGGGATTAAACTTATGAATTACACTGTAAATTTATGGGAAAAGGCTGGGATTATAGAAAATTAATTTGATTCTATCTTAGGAAGGTCTAAAATAGAAGTTATAAACCTTTTACAAAAGTATCATTATAAAAATAACTTATTTATGATTTTTATTGACTCAAAAAAGACATATGACCATGTATCAAGAGAAGTGTTATGGAAGGTCTTAGAAAAGAAAATTAGAAATTCGTGTAGCATATATTTGAATTACATAAGACATGTATGAGGTAACTATATGTGTAAGAATTTCGAGAGACGTATCTAAGAACCTGCCTATAGAATAAGTTTACATCAAAACTTTGCTTTGAACCTTTATTTGTTTAATCTAGTTTTAAATATACTTATGAGTGACATACAAATAACTATATCTAAGTGCATGTTCTTTGCGGATGACATAGTGTTAGTTAATAATTCAAAAAAAGATATTAATGCTAAACTTAAATTATGGAGGGTCTTTAAGATTTAAGGGTTTTCACTTGATAAAATGTAAGACAGAATGTATACATTACAATTGTAACAAGAAAACAAGATAAGAATCATGTGTTGGAAGTTAAACTTAAAAATTATATTATACCCATAGTAGTCAATAGCGGAAATAGCAGCCGCAATTGCGGCGGAGTGGCCCTTTCCCGCGACAGCGACGCTATCGCGTTTCACAGTAGCGGTTGTCGCACCGCGAATAGCGGCGGAAAACACCGAAAATAGCGGCTGGAGCGGACGCTATCTCATTCTCGCGCGTTTCCCCTTTTTGCCCCTCATCTTTTACCGTTAGGGCCCTTTAAGGGGGGGTAATTTTGGAATTTTGACCCCCCCTTATATTTCTGAATCATCTTCTTCAACCCTAGCCTCCATCCATCTGCTCTCCTCTCTTCTCCCGTCGGTTCTCTCTCCTCTGTTCTTTGTTTTCCAGTCATTCTCTGATCGCTGTGCTCTGTTTTTCCGGCAAGACTTCCACTTGATTTTCCGATCATCTTCTTCGTCTCCGGCAAGCTTCTAAGGTGACCCAAATTATTTTGAGTCATTTTCTTCATCTCTTCTCATCTTCTTCAAGGTCAGCACAACTTTTCGGTCATCTTCTCCAACTCTGGCAGACTTTCGGCAAACTTCCAGCGAACTTTCCGGTACTGAACATTTTTTTTTCCTATATTTTTCTCTGTTTTTTTTTTCTCTTCTCTGTTTTGATTCTTCTATTATTTCCTATATATATGTGTGTAATTTAATTTATGAGTTTATGAGTATATTTATAATACTTAAAATAGCGGCCATCCCGCTATCCGCTATGCCGCTATAGCGTTTTTGAGGTTGGCCGCTCCGTGCCGCTATCCGGGATTGACTACTATGATTATACCACAAGTCTTCAAGTTCATGTACTTAGGATTGATTCTACAAAATAATAAAAAAATTAATAAAGATGCTATTTAGAACATCAATTGAATAGTTAAAGTTCAGAAAAAAATTCAACGGTATTTGTGACCATAAAGTATTTATCAAACTAAAAAGAAAGTTTTATCATATTGCAGTATGACCAATTATCATATATAGTAACGAATGTTAGACCTTAAAAGAACAACACAAGAAAAAAGGTAAAATATCAAAAATGAGAATGTTAAGGTAGATAGGTCATCACACGAAAAATGGCAGAATAAGAAATGATTGTATGCATAAGAATATTAAAGTAGTTCGTATAATGAAAAGATTTATTGAAAACTGTCTTAAGGTAGTTTGATTACATGCAGAGAAAATCTTTGAAGTGAAAAGAGTAGATGACAGGACTTTTAGTCTAATAAAGAAGGGTAGAGGGAGACCTAGAATTATTCATAATTGACTTGAAATTGTTCAGCCTATGATTTATAATTGAAATTGTTCATTAACTCTCCTTTCCTCCTGCTTGTTCTATATTCCCTAATATTTCTAAGTTTGCTGCTAGATTTTCTTACTTTCACATTCTGTTTGGCTTGTCCTACTTCAATATTATTAGTGCTTGAACTGGAGTTTTCAAATTAATTAATAATACTGGATAATCCTTAAAAGGTTATCTTTTGAGGGAAACAGTATTGTGGAAAGTCTATCATAACTCCCATTATATGGTGCAATTGTCTACTGAAAATGCTCTTCGAAAGGCAAAAGATAAACAAACTCAATACTTATTACCTGCTACTATTGCCTACAATATATTACTGTTTGCTGTCACAAACTGTGTTGTTATCAGTGTCTCTGCAGGTTGCTGTATAGCACCACCATCTTTCCTTGAAAATGCTTCAATTTTTATAAATAAAAGTTTTGGTCTCTTCAAGCTTTGTTATATGTTCCATAAAGCAATTGCTCCCTTGGCAAGTAGCAAGAAAATTAGAAATCTTCCTAGGAAAGATGTTCTTCTATAAATTGGTTCAATACTTGTATTTGTAAAACTGTTGAAATAGAAATGTCCTTGTTCTTTCTCTCGTGAATTTTCCAGTCATTATTGCTTAATATTCTTATATTTGATGAGCATTAACTTTGTTTAACATCTGTTGTTCACTTTACAAGATTTCCGGTTAATTTACTCTTCTCTATGAAATGGGATTCTTCTCATGGCAAAATTAATATACATTCTGTTATTATTTCAGGGAAGAAGTCAAAAGGCAAGCACAAAAGCAAATTTAATAAAGGCGATGGCCATACGGTGAGTTGTATTCCCAATATTGTTAATTATGCTACCTGCAAAATAATCTTGTATTACTTTCTGTCATGCTAGATGTCTGTGTCAGATCCTTTATTTTTGTGCATTCTTGGTTTTTCTGCAAGAATCACAGCATTGTTTTCATCCAGTTCTTCTACCCCAAATTTAACATTGTTTTTCAAGTTTATTTCTATATGCAAGGAAATCTTTGTCACTAGAAAGAAAAAATGTAGAAAAATAAAGTTAATACTTCATGCTGCAACTTCCAACAGTCCAGGAGCATTTGTTTCTCTTATTTTGAAAACTTTAAATGATTGCTACTGTATAATTTTCAAAATAATTGAGAACTTTTAAGATGGACCATTTTCATCTACTCACGAGTCATGACATTTCTTGGAAAAGCCAAAACCGATTTCTTGTTGACTGCCATATATTAGCACCTAGTTTTACACGCTTAGTTGTTAGAAGTCGTTGTTGAGATCATTTATCTGTTGGTTCATTGGTATTTACGGTTTGATCTTGGTTATTTCTAATGTAGGAATTCCAAGAATTGTCAAACGATGACTATTTTGCAAAGAATAATGAGTTTGCTACCTGGCTGAAAGAAGAGAAGAATGTGTTTTTCTCTGATCTTTTATCTGAGTCAGCACACGAGTTGTTTTCAGACTTTGTCAAAGCATGGAATAAAGGAAAGCTTGATTCGCATTACTACGAAGGCATTGCAAGCGGTCCCCGCACATCCCATAATTGGAAGATCAAGAAGTAGCTTTCCTTTCTAACCACAGACTTGAAAGTAAAACTCAGTAAGTATAGATGTCTTTCTGCATCAATCTTTCTTTGAGAATCAGCGTTTATTTTGCAAAAAGCGAAAATGATACTAGAATGGAGAACAGGTGAATTAAAACAAAAACTCTTAGAATTTAAGTTATATTTGCAGCAGCAGATGGGCATGTCTCTTTACCTGGCTGTGTTTTTGTAAATCAATGTGACTGATTCTATTGATTCTAAGGATAGGTGAGGGATGGTAGATCTATGTAGCACTGTTTTTCTTGTACTGAAAGATTTAGATCAGTTCATCTATATATTCGTTGTGTATCTACTATTTTTTCCTCCAATCTCTATTGCCTTACTATAACTCACCCACTTATATTTTTTAACCACGTTACCCTCAATCTATACTTGTTCGAAACTTAATAACTAATTGTTTATTTGTGACTTGTATTTTCTTTCTCTTCACTTTATTCAAAGGAGCAAAAAATTGATTTTTCTCTTCATTTTTAGCCTGTTATCTTTCCACTATCAAAGGAAGGCTTCGCGTAAACTTAACTAATGTTAGTACATTACATCATATGTACATGCCAATACATGATAATCTGGTTTAAACGTTGTTAGTACATTTATATGTGGTAGTTTAAAAATCTCGTAAAAATATCAATCACATGCATTAATGCAAATTTATTGACGCAGTTACTGATCGCATTTTATTTTAATGGACATTGGCTTGCTTTGAACTTGAAGCAGTAAAGGTTGACTGATTTAACCATAGTTTTACAAACTAGACTGAAATGACACTCTATTGGAAATTGGTTAAGTCACCAATTTGGACAACTCAAAAAAACTGGTGGTGCAGAAGATGATCCAACCAGTTAAGAACTAATCAAAATTGGACATGAATCAGCACCAGTTAACCAGCCTAAACCATTTTATTTAAAATTTTCTCTTTTTTATAGTTTTTTTTTAAATATTTAATTATAAAATAATTCAAAATAAATTGGCAAATATGTATATAAGAATTATTATTATTTAACTATGTATTATAAGTTTATCTTGTAAAATATATACATTATCCTTTTATGATTCTGTAAGCTTCTGCTTAATTTTTGTAATTTTATATTGATGTATCAAATATTGTTGAAAAATATATAATTATCACTAGATCAAACTATTGACAAATTATTTAATCACACGGTAAATTCTGTCATGTTTTAAAGATTAAGAGTATTTTATATCCTTACAACTTAATCACCCATTAACGGAAAAACACTAACGAAAGGAGGCATCGAAGTTAGATTCCCAGGGGCCCCCGCCATTCTTTTCTGAATTTCTCAAAAGGGTAAAAATAGATATTTTCCTATTCTCCATTTATATATGCATACTTGAACAGGGCCTCCAGCATGCTTATTGAAGGTGGTAAAACAGGCTACAGTTTTGTTTTATACAATTTGTGGGGAGACTACACTGTGCACATTAATGTGCATGGCGAATTTAATTCATGGCATCAAATATATTGATGTTGCTCAAGGTAGAGAGACAATTGGGCTACATAAGGTTCGAGGCTTGGGTAATAGCCTTGAAAAGAAAAATAAGACATCAGTGTTATACATGGAAAGCGGGTGACATTTGAGCCTGTAGAATCAACGTAATAAATCTAATTTGTTAGAAGTGCACCACGCATGCCAAATCAACATCTAGGTCTAGACACTAGTTATTTGAAACACCTGTCTGGATCTTGATCACCCAACAAAATCCCAAGGGAAAACAAGGAATTGGGTACCAGGAATGTGAGATTCCAAAGAGAATATAATGCATTGGACGTAACCAGCAAGATAAAAAATAATAGATAGAAAAGGAGCATTCAGACATTAAGAAAAAATAAATTAGTAATATTCATTAAAAAGCCATTGCCGTATCATCATAAATTTAGACAAACTAGGTTTGTTTGATAATGTTGATGACTTTGGAAAAGGTTTATCTGAAGGCTTGCTGGCCACAATGAGTAGCTCACAAATTCACTATTGCCATCGCAAAGTCTTCATTTAAGCTACCAATTGAACTCAACAGGGAAACGAACACAACTCCAGGAACACAAGATTTCTTCATTGTAGATTATTCTACTTCACCCAAATAATCATCAATTTCAGCTGGTGTCAATACCCTGCAACATAAATAACATACCGTTATTAAGTCAACCAAATAACATACCTCAGGGTTATACCCTTTTTCCAACCACTTTTTATTCAATTTCTCTAATACTTATAAATACTTATAATTTATTAATTATTAACTCAGATTGGACAACCCAAAAATCAACTCAATGGGACCAACGATATAAACCAGAGAAAGCGAGGTTCATATAATTAAATATGGAAGATGGAAGAAGAAAATCACAAAAGTCAAGCATACCAGACATATTTTAAGTAAACAGATATGCACCTGAACTTTTTATCAGCACCAATTATGCCAATTTCAATGTTTTTTCCTGAGATCTGTCCCTCAAACCTGGAAAACACCCACAAAAGAAGTCAGAAGAAAAAAGTTTCAAAAGACCACATAGGTTCCAAAAAATAATATAGTAGATGAGAATTAAAAACAGAAAGCACAAATTGGTAATAAAGGGGAATAAAATCAGCAATAACTTCCTGTCATTATCAGTTATTAATGTAATAAGCTTGATTGAAAACTTACAATAATAAAGCCAACAGATAATTGTTTGGAGGGATGTGCCTAAGGGGCTGTTTGGGATGGAGGGTTTAGGAGGAGAGGGGAGGACAAATTTTTTATTTTAAATAAATATATATATATAATATTTTTTAAAGTAAAATATATAAATTGATATATTAACATAAACTTAATGTATTAATCATACATTTATTATCATAAATGATATATAATTCTCTTAATTTTAAATTTTAAAATATGCCTTCCCCTCCTCCAAAAACCCTCTCCCAAACATACCCTAAGGTAATTGTCAAAGATTACTACTATAAAATTTGCTTAAATACCCTAGAATAGGATTACGCTCAATACTTGCTCATTCAAACCCAATAAGCCAATCTTTGCATTTTCCTTCCCGAAACTATATCTCTGAAAGACAAACTATCATGCACTACATATGGTAGGACTAAAAATATTTTGACCAAAAAGGGATGAAAAGAATCAAGTAATACAAAATAACTTTTGGGCCACCTAGTGGACAGTAACAGTTAAACATGACATTCCATTAAAGTTTTATTTAGCGCATAAACTTGAAATGGCATCTTCCTACCCTTCTTTCAGTGTCAATATTGCTGTGTGGACTGCATCATCAAGCTCCATATCATCTGTGTACCTGTACATAGACAATCAAGTCCACCATAGAAATGATAGGGAAAATTTGAGGTATAACTAGCGATACTCAAATCAATCAAAGAAAAAAATTCATGATTATCTTAAAAAAAGAGTTCCAAACCACAAAATTGACAACTTCTGCAGTCATACACTAAAATAGACACTGCAGACAAATCTATGCATAATATATAATTTCAGAAGTGTGCATTCATGAATCTGTTACTTCAGCTATTATGATTTGAGTCCTCTTGATTACAACATCAATGTACTTTTAAGTATTTTAACAGCTACTAATTATTCCATAATTTTACTATTTTAGAGTATATTAATGTCAGCATAGACAGCTTTCATCATACATACAGGAGTGAGAGCTATAGAACATCAAGGACACAGCAGAAAACAAAAGCATACACTGATACACTCCACATGTTTTTACCTACAGAATTATTACGAAAAACTTACCTCTTTTCAAGAAATGTCTTGGCATTAGAAACATTTTTCCCCATAGCAGATGCTTTCCAAGAAAAATATGAACCTGATGGATCCACCTACATAAAAAACAAATCACATCAAACCACAACCTTTGATTTTCTCTCTATCATTTGATCAATGTGCAATTTTCAATTTGAAGCAAAAATAATTCAGGTGAAGAAAAAGAAGATAGTGTAAAATTTAAGTAATGAATTTACAACTTTTCATGGGTTATATATCTTCAGAGAATTTAAGGAACACCTATTCATTTCACCAATTGAGTGAGGTTCTGAAATCTAGACTTATTACATGTACTGTCTGTACATGTCACAGCTAAACAAACATAGAGTTCAAGTACCCAACAAAGAATACACAATGCAATGTAACAACAGATTAGGATTGCAAGTGATGGTTGTTTACCAGAGTTTAAAAGCAACCAGGTCAAGAGTTACATCAGAAAACTATTAACACACCTGATACAATTGTGGTCCATTATCATCAAACCCAGCAACTAGAAGGGAGACTCCAAAGGGCCTAACACCACTATCAGGACAAAAACAAAAATGTCAGAATTCAACGATGATAAAGTGGGAAAATGGAAAATAAACAGGGCAGTTGGGTGTATATAAAAATAGTCAGAGGATCAGGTTATGTTCTGTGCATTTATTTCAGTGCTTATTGAAGATTTGTGTACTATAAAAGATCAACCTAATTTTGACTTATGGGATTTCAATAGGAATCAAAATGTTACCAATTTATCTAGCATACACCTCCAGAAAAAATGAAAACAACCACAGCAACAGCTGCATCTATATTAACTCATGCTGAAATTGAATCCACAAATACTGGTCCTTTTCAGAAAGACAAGGCCCAATGCACTTTTGTTTAGACGAACTCCAAGCTTACAATTGCCAGAGAATTATAATTACATTCTAGGTTTTCATAAGTTAATGATAATTGAAACTTCAGCAAATCAATCCACTGGCATTTACTTAAAAGAATTAGTCCCCCTCAACATTGAAAGGCATCTGAATGGGCACATTCCATGTTCGTCGGCATGGAGAATTTGGTCAAATTTAGTTTATTATTAAAAAAAAAAAAATTCTCTTGTAAAATTAAAAGAGAGGATGACAAGGAAAACGAAACAAGAAACAGAAAACAGCTAGAAGTGGCTCATATTAGGAGATCAATTTGCCAAAGCCTAATGTAAACTTTATCTTTATTATACCCTAGAGTATTTTATTTTCATTTTCTCTTACTTGAGGTTTTTTTTATCTCTTTTCATTTTACTGGAGGAGGGGGTGGGTGGGTGGGTGGGTGGATTGATGTAAATGCATGACATAATCTTCTATGCTATGAGTTGACAAAGTAAATTTCAGTGGTCAAAACATGTCTCAGAGAGAACAGTTTACAAAGAAATAATTACCCTGACTGAGTAAATTCCTGCATTACAGCAGCAACTTCCCTGACAAGTTGAGTGACAGGGATTGGTTCCTGCAATTTTCCATTACAATATCAGATATAACCTACACTTCACAAACGATCCATCATAGAACCCCAAAAGTAAACAGAAAGGTGAAAACAAAAAGGGCATATGCATATTCACAAAGATTATAATATATACAAATTATAGAAATCTAAGTTAAAAAATATACTCCAAACTCTCAAGAAAAAGAAAAAACAAAGGCTTGAGGGAAAATCTAATCAAATATATCACAAAATTCATTGGTGGGAAAAGGAAATGGGCCATATATCATCATTCCAGGAAAGTGTAAAATATAAGATACAGAATTGTAACTATTTTCCCCTAACAAAAAGCAGTAATATACTTCATGACTTGTTAAAAAGACTCAGATCAAGAAAGAAGCAATATGAGATTCTTCTATTTGATCCCATCATTAAATCCTTGTCAGTGTAATTAGCACTTCCACAGCCAGTACTTTATCAAAGATATTAAATCTAGAACTCCTGGAAGCTTTTGAAGTATTTCCATCCCTCATAACATTAACTGTTGTAGTTTCTTCATTTTGATTACATATTAGTCACCACTTTGGATCCTAATAAAATAGATGAAATTAAGCAATCGGTACAATCATACACAATTTTATCCTATATTTTTCCTCAAAAATATCCTTTTATTATAACTTAGTATTTCCCTTCTCAAAGTATACAACGAAAGAGAGATATTTAATACACGGACCATAATTTAAATTAAGGCCCATCAATCTGTTTATGTGTTACAAACACAGAATTGTCCCTAAATAAACACTCTAGAATGACTCTTTCACTCGAGAAAACATCCATTGCATGAAAAATGATGCAAACTACCTACAGCTGTGTAACCAAGTACAATCATTGAGACAACCTGACAATATAATTCATTACAATACCAAATAACAAAGTGAAGCTGACAAATTATAGCTGAATCATATTGACTAAGTATACAGAACAAAAACTCAGCAGTAAGAATGAAAACTATACTGGAATAGAAATTGATATACCATACTTTATATAACCGGTGATACTGCTCAGCCTGTTTCCTGCTCTTTCGAACCAAAACTCGAAAATCAGGACCCATGCCACTGAATAGCAAAAGACCAAATTTAGGTCAATTACATAAGATATTTGCAAATTAAGGAAAATTAATTATTTCCTTTCACAAAAAGCTAAACAGAAATGGAAAAAGGTAGTGTAAGCTTGCTTATGAAGTTTCAAACACAAAGCAAGCATCAGAAAATAAGTTAATTTAACAGTTTATCTCGCACAAAATACAAAGCGCAAAAAGAGAACAGGAAGTGATTTTTTGTTTCTATATTGCCATTTTAAAGCTTCAAAATAACTTTCAATTATTCCAAGACAAACAATTTCCAAGAGTAGTGATTCTGAGACAAACACCACCTCTGCTCCCCCAAGAAAAGTCAGTCGTCAAGTCTCTTGTAGGTTGAATTAAATAAATCTCTTCCACTAGAAAATCTATTTAAATCCTCAAGCAGCCAGCCATGATTTATTAACATCTTAAAACAATAAAGATTAACGGTATGCCACCTTCATGTGTACTTTTAGTATACTTTTGTGTACTTACATCAGCACACAAGCAATCATTAACTCTTTGCCAATGAAAACACAAGCAATCTCTTTCATTAGAGAATCTATTTAAATCTTCCTTCTATAAAGTCTTTATTCAGTCTTATGGCCATATCAATTTTTATTTCATACGTGTTTAGAAAAACTATTCCACAAAATAATTGTGCTGTGTCACTAAGGCAGCTTCCATGCCTCCCACCTCAGTTGTCAATGTGCCTAGGTGACTTGTGCAGCATCTCATGTTTAACAATACATTCAAAATCAAACCATCAACTAGCATTATGGGAAGCAACTATCAAGATACAGAAAATTAATGAGATCATAAAATGTATTTAACTTAAAATGATTTAAATATGTACAAAGAAACAAACCTATATACAACACCTATATTTGGTGTTAATAACTGAATTTTCTGGACCTGCAACCACATTACCAAAGAATAAAATTAAATAACATAGAATGTATCATGAACTATATAACTTCAAATATTTTTATAAGTATACTGACAGATCTGTTGCAAAAACTACATAAACGATTGTTTTATCAATTGCCAGACTTAAAACATCCTTAATTATGAAAATATAACAATAACATTATTCCGCTTAGCAAATATTCTTCAAAGAAAAGTAGAAGAAGAAAAATGCCAACAAAGTATGCTTTTGTGTACTAGGAAGAGAAGGGAATGCTAACAGAATGAACTGCTCCATATGTAGCATGCATCAGATTGTTGTAAGGTGCTAAATTTACTATATATCCAATAAAAGTAATTATCAGTCAGCATAAATTTGAAAACATCGACACACATGTATCTAAACAAAGGTATAGATGTGTATATAAGTGAATTTGTAAATTATTTCAAGTGTACACATATGGTGACCCAACCTGGAAATCCAACCTTGCATCCCAAGAAGGAATTTGCAAGGGGATTATGTGATTGAAATATAAGAAGCATTAGTGAAGGGTGTATTGATGTCAAGGTTTGAGTTAAATGAACAAAATTGTTTAACTTGAATTTATTTTTTTTCTAAGTATGAAGCAATGCTGCATATATTTGGTACCAACAATATGTATGAAGGGGTTAAAAGTTAAAATTAGTGTACAACCAAATGGTTAGACACAAGGGATTCCTTTAAGTTTACACAAAGGTCAACCTTGAGCCCTAATCTTTTTACATAGGATAGGACAATTTTATAATTTTTTTTAAATGAATTACAAGTAACAAGGGATCTAATGGAAAATAAACTCACTGATGATTCATCAACCAATATAGATGGCAGTTTCTTCTCTGTTGCAATGACAACTCCATTTGCAGCTGCAAGAACCAAATATCAAATTGATAATTGCAAATAGTAAAAGCTTCAACATACACTTGAACACAAATAGCAGGCATAGAAGACTTTTGCTAAAAAACAATAGACCCATTTTCCCTGAAACCTACTCAACCAAAGAATTTCTACATTTCAGATAGCACTGTTTTCCCTGAACTTATGTAAACCTCCACATCATGTCAAAGCCATTTACATGCCCTCACAAAGAACTGTAATAACTTTCCATACCAAAACACATAAGAAACCAATATTCTGCCCATCTACTAGATGACAATCATACAAGCTAATTCCACATTTAGGGAAAAAAATGATAAAACTCCATTTATTTCTTATAATAACCTAATACCAAGATGATAAGTGCATTTAGAACAAGGAAACAAAACAAGAACATATTTTATGCGTAATACTTATCCAGATCATATAAAAATTTTCAGCAATCTTTTCACACACCACCAGCCTATAGAACAAACAGGGGTAAGACTTAACATATCATAAATGCTTACACCACCACTAATCCAGTTTCGGTTTACTTATGATCAGAACCCTCAGCCATCTCACTCCTGCTAAATTTCCTCAAATGTTTGAACCCCAAACTTATTTCAGCATCTTAATCAGTTAATCCCAGCCCCATGCACATACTTTCTGCATCCCATATCCTACCACCCACTCAGTTAATTAAAAGTTATCAAAAACAATTTGAAATCCAACAAAAACAACGACTAAGCGCAATAAAATGCCATTTATTTCTAATTGCTCCCCCACCCCATAAACAATCAACAACACAAAGCGCCAGCTGTTGCTAAGAACAATCTATTTCAAATTGGAAGGCCGAGTCAACAATAAGAACATAAGAACACACTAAGGAGTGAGGATCACAAACAGATCCAATCCACAGCCAGAGATAACCAATCACCTTTAATTCCCAGAGACGTTTGTCCAGACCCAACAGCTGTCAAAGCATGCTCAATCTGAACAAGCTTTCCAGAAGGGCTGTTACACAACACAACATAATCAGTTGAGACATACAACACTCCAATTGTCTTTGTAAACAAAAAATAAAATAAAGTATCAGTAAGAAACATACCTAAATGTGGTTAGAGAAAATGAATACTGACTGTCTCCCATGATAAACGATTCAATAACCTACACAGCAACTTCACTTTATACAAACTTTTCATTTTATTTTTATATATAAAAAGTAAATACTTCCAAGTTATAAGAAAACAAATACATTCATTAACCATCGCTTTTCTTACCAGCCCTAGTTAAAAAAACTGAAAATGTGAATTTTGAGTGTATGATGGGGAAATTGAAATGAAAGGCGCGAGAAAAGCAGAGGGCGCGATCCGTTTGGGAGCAGATAAAGGAAGGGAAATTAGCGAGAAAAGAGAGGAAAATTTGTAGAAAGAACTAACCTGAGAAAGAGAAAGAGAGTGCTCGCGGAGGTACCCCTGCTTGGCTTCTGAAGTGCGTGTATAAGTTGAGAGAGAGAAGAACTGAAGGAGTAGGCAGCAAGTTTCAAATCTGGGCCCATCTGGTCTTGGATCGTTAGTTCAACGATGGCCCAAATCTTTTTCTTAATTTAGTTAATTAGTTATGAGCTATCATAAAAATTAAAAAAATTAAAGAGTATATAATGGGTATCAAGTTTAGAAGTAATATATTTTTGTATTTATTTTTTTATTACCATACAATGTTCATTTAATTCAATTTTGTCTAATATTAAAACTAAACCAGATATTGATTTGGTGAGGACATTAATTTTAGGTTTATTTGTTCAATTTTGATTCATCCTTAATCTCACTAGTAACTAATAATAATAAGATATTAAATAAATTAAATTTTTTAATTAAAAATATATTAAATGTCTTATAAAATAACGATGATGATAATAATAACAATAAAAACATTAATTATAAGAAAAAAAAGAAAATAATAACTTTAATGTATTTATATATAATTTTACTTGAAGTAAATATTACAAAAGTTAAATTGGATTAGCGTTTAGTAAGTTGGTCATCTTGCATGTGTTCTTTAGTTCGACCTTTTTAAACTATTATAAATCTAGTTGGGCCGATATGATTTATTTTGACTCTATAAAAACAGAGTTTGAACATTGAAAACACAAACAAGTCATATTCTAACCCGTTAAGAGTTGTGGTTTATAGCCTCATATATTTTCATAGTTTGAACCAACCAAAATTTGTCAAAGTTAAACAATATTTAAATTCAACTTATTTAATAAATAATGTAAATTAAGTGGATAAGCTTAAATTAACATTTTCTTGTGGTACATAGATTTTTTAATGATTAAAACATCATGATAATAACAATATTAATATTAATAATAGAGAATACTATATGTTTTCATTATTGACAATCCATTTCATTTTATTCAATTGAAATAAATTATTTGAATAAGAATACGTCATTTTTATCAATATCATGGTATGGTGTGTCAAAAAATTTCAAACAAATTAAAATATCAAGATTGATTAAAATTATAATAATATTAAAACTCAATTATTTTTAAAAAATAAATATATTAATTTGATATAATGAAAGATATTATAAATAAATTTTATAAATACTTAACATATGAGAAAAGTCACGTGACTTAAATTTGATTGTTTCTGTTTTTATTTTTAATTTTAAAACAATTTTAAAAAATTATTTTTAAGAAGAAAATAAAATTAAAACTTATATTAACAAACAATTTTTTTAATAAAAATAAAAACTAATTTTAAGAATAGAAAACCAACAAATTTTAAGTGACAGATAAACTAATTCTTGAAAGTGTTTTCTTTTTGGAATTTATAATAAAGATTGGAGTAACTCTTTTATAAGATTTTGGGATACAATATTTTCTCTGTCTATGGCTATTTCATTCAGTGTCACACGTGCGTAGAGGATCTTTTGTGCTGTTAAGGTAGCAGAGAAGAAGGGATTGGTGGACAAAGCCAAGGAAATAAAGAAAGAGAAGTTGATCTTACTTCTGAGGTAAAAGACTTTGAGATGCTAAGTTGTTTGATTAAAAGCTTGAACTACAAGTCACTTGAACTGCATTTAAATGATTGAATCATGGAATTGGACAATAAAATATTTAACATTCAAATGCCAATATATTTCATCCTTGCAGAAATAACACATACATAAAAGAAACATAATATTTGGGGATACCTGCAATTGATGCACAGTACATTAAGAAACATAAATGGTAAAGTCCCTTCACAACTATGGATTAACTTAAAGATTTATCTACCACCAATGTTGGAAATAGTTAAACCATTTGCTGAAAAAGTTTCATTATCATTAGGCAGATTGCATTCTTCACTTAGCTTTCTTCCATAGTAAAATGCTGGTCTTCTTGGCAATGGATATGATGCAATTTCATTAGTCAACATGTGAATTATCTCTGACACGGTTGGACGATCTGCTGCATATTCTTGTACACATAGAAGACAATATGAATGCATTTCAATGCTTCATCTTGAATGAATGACTCTCTTAAAGTTGGGTCTACTAGTTCTAGTCCTTGGCCTTGGTTCAATAGTTCCCAAGCCTGGGACATTAGCAGAAAATAAAAATATTAGATGCCAAAACAAAAAGTATGTGAAAAATCATTCATTAATTTGGTTAAATAATAACGATTTTGATAACCTTGACTCTTAGAGATGATTTTAAGCATTCAAAAGTACTAAATTTTTATTAGAAAAAAAAAAGTATTTATTGCATTAGTGATATAAAAGTGTAATAAATTATTCTTTTAAATAAAAATTTATTGTTTTTGCATGTTTAAACTCAACTCTAAAGCGTAAGGTTAACAAAACTGAAATGATAATAAGAATAATAATCAAACTGCCTAAGAAGAGCTTACATGTCCTACTAGATTGAGTGGCCTTTCAGCATTGTAGAAGTTGTTATTCCTTCTACCAGTTATAATTTCAAGTAGTAAAACTCCAAAAGCATAGACATCTGATTTGATAGAGAAAATTCCCTCCATGACATACTCAGGTGACATGTAACCACTGCATAGTATAACATAGGACAAAAATGAAATTTTTAGATCAGAAATAAATTAAAAAAAATATAGTAGAAGTAATGATTTGATGTTTTAAGCTTACTCACTAGGTCCCAACAATCCTTTTTGTGTTTATATATGATTCGTCTTGTGTAAAAATTCTGGCCATGCCAAAATCCGAGATTTTGGGATTCATATTTGCATAAAGAAGAATGTTACTAGCTTTCAAATCCCTGTGAACTATTCTTAATCTTGAGTACTTATGGAGATAGAGCAATCCTTGAGCAATTCCATCAATTATGTTGAAACGTTTACTCCAATCTAATTTTTCGCTTTGAGTAGAATCTTTCCATTAGTAGCATTGATATAGTTAGTATCTTAGAAGAAAATAAATGTACATGAAAAAATAATAGATGATTTATGTAAGTAACATCTGATTCTTGTTCTACTGACAAAACAAATTTCTCACCAAATAAAAAAATGTCCAAGCTTTTGTTAGGCATATACTCATATATTAGCATTCTTTCATCTCCATCAATGCAGCACCCCAATAACTGAACAAGATTCATGTGTTAGAGTTCAGATATGAGCGTCAACTCATTTTTAAACTCTTCAAATCCTTGTCCTGAACCTTTTGAGAGTCTTTTTATTGCTACTTCTTGTCCCTGTGGTAACATTCCCTGTAATTAATGATGTTCACAAGGTTATTTTTATTAAGATTTCAGGAAATTAGTCTTTGAAATATGTTTAGAAGGTTTATAAGTAATGACCTTATATACAGGTCCAAATCCCCCTTCTCCTAACTTGTTTTCTAGTGAGAAACTGTTTGTAGCTGTCATGATTGAATCATAAGTGAAAATTCTCAAATCATTCCCACCTTTCATTTCATTTTGAAGTTCAATTGAACCCTTACTTCTATTAGTCGCCATGAAATTTAGCATGTCATTCCCCATTTTGCTTCTCTTCTCCTCTATTCAGGTAAGAATGTGACAAAACGAGGTTATGATTGAAGAAAGATAAAGCGCTTAAAATATAAGTCAAAGATCCTTACTCTACAAACTATGTGAAGCAAGTACCTTGATGTGCAACTTTTCTTCTCATTAGTCCACGGCAAAAAATGCCAAAGCTAATTATAAGTAAAACTGCTCCAACAGGAACACCAACTTTTATCCACTTCTTCATATCTGCATCATATTATCAACAAGACAGTACTGTCAACTATATATCATGAGTGGTTTTGTGTATACATGGTTTTGGATCTTAAATGTACATTTTCAATAGCACATGTAATACTAAAATGCTTTTAAAAATTAAATGGATTGTTGAGCATTTCCAAATCTAGAATCCTGCATTGATTCTTGTCCTTCATAAATGATTTGCACAAATTTTATGCTGCTCATGAAATATGATCTAACTGACACCATATTTGGAAGTAGAGCTTGTCCATTATCACTCCTAAAATCATAATTAAGGATATAACTCTATTATGAAGCATGAAGATGCACTTGCAAACCTTACTTTTTGTTGAAATTTAAATTAATTACGTGAGCTACATAGATCAAACTTGTCCAAGTGGTCATATAAAATCAATTGTCCTGAAGGATTAAGTTGTTAGGTGAACCCATGTGAATGATTTCAAGGTTTTAGTTACCATAAACAAAATAGACTTTGTATTTGACAAAAAAATTAATTAAACAGAAGCTAATAGCCATACCTTTGTTATCCTGGTGGGTGTTTACAAGAATGTAGATGCTCAATCCACCAAACTTCACAAATTTAGGCACGCATCCTCCATAATTTGGTGATTAGGAAAAGATGTTCTGAAGCCAACACAGGTGCAATTGCTCATGCAAATATCTTTACAATCCCTTGTACTTAGTGTAATGTTTTTTGTCTTCAGCAGTAGAATCATTATTTGGTGAGGATTGATGATCAAAATATCCCGCTTTTTCTTAAAACATGTCACTAGGTACATTGGTACACAAAAATTTTAATAATTTAAAATATATAAAGATAAAAAAATTATACAATAACACTATGAATCATTACAATAATGCGATGAAAATGTTTTAATTTAATTAAATAAATGAATTAATTTTTAATAATAGAAAATAGAAAAATATTTTTAATTAGATGATATATTTTAATTAAATAAAAATAATCATTTAATTGATTAATTTTAGAAGTAAGATTTAATTTTTTATAAAAATTGATGGTATATAAAATCTAAAATAACGTTGGTACTCATAAGTTTTGACAATTTATAATGCATCACGGTAGAGTTGCTACATATTAGTATTATAAATTGTTCTATTAATTAAATAACTTAGATTTAAATTAGTTGATTGATTAGTAAGTTAGTAATTAGAAAAGAAACATGTTTTGTTTAATTATTAAGATAATTATCTAATTAATTAAAAATCAGATATGATAATTCAATATTGTATAAAA